CCTTGTAAAAAAGAGACAGAATAAAAATGTGGTTATGGGAGTCAGCCAATGGAAAACTGAACCAATCAAGGATCAACACAATGTCTTATATTTAGGCACACTCAGCTGGGACATGGGGAACAAGACTAATTATGGAGGTCAGATGGGTCAGAAGTTAGGAAATTAACCTTAGATTTAGAAGCCTTGCATTCTATTCCCTACTGCGCCACAGGTGAAACTGTGGTCAGTTCTTCTTATTTCTGCCTTTAATTCAATTCTCCACATGCAAAACTGAGGATAACAACAGTTCTCCAACACATCGCACTGATGATTTTCATTATTTGAATATTACAGCAGCTTAGAGCATATAGGTTTGGATAAGGGCAAACAGAAGGACAAAAGTAAGGGATTTTTGAGAAGCTCAACTGCCCTAAGAGGGTAAGCCTCGAAAATAATTATATCCATTAAGACAAACTCTGCCTTCAGTGAGTTGCATTGCAGACTGCTCAAATTTATGCTGTAATTCATCCTGGGTATTTATTCCCTTAAGTCTCCTCTTCTTTGTGCCATCAGAGCCCTAACATGACTTTGGCCCTATTGTTTTACTGCAATAGAGTGGCATTTCATAATATGTCACCCTTTTAGTTTAAGTCTATAATTTAAAGCAACTATGAAAGTCAAGATTAAGTAAAACCTGTGTCCAGAACTTCACAGAAATCCTGGTAAGGGTGGCACTTTTATTTAAACTAGTTCTATATTATATCAATTACACAGTTTGTGGTATTGTATAGACTTAACTATTGGAGGTTGTTTCTTTTTCTGCAGCCCAGAGTATACAATAGTTTGAGAAGACCTAGTTGATGATTGTATCTGTTTCTGTACGTTAGTCTCATTAAAAAAAAATATTTTATAGGCCTTGTTTGTTTTTTTCAACATGAGCTGCTGAGGCTGAAACATATAATGCTGCTATGAATCCAGAACAGCCAGGACAGTTCTAAATTGCATCAAACCATGAGGTTCCTCTTGAAAGAAGACAGGCCATGAAAAGTCATTTCATGGGGAAGATTAACAGCAAAAATTGTGCAGAAGACCAGCTAACAGTTTAATTTATATGCACACCCACAGTCTCTCCCTTCCCTATAGCAAACAGACAGCTCAGCCGTCTGCAGCTTTCTCATGCTTTTTCAGTACCTCTGCATATCACTTATTCACATGGGTATTCCATGGGGTATACGGGAGTAAGAGCAATTAACTAGGCAGTATAGCCTAATGGAGTTTTAACCCTTATTATTATGTTCCCCTTATTTGCATCACCTGCTCCAATACCACTTCTTTAAGAGGCATCTGCAAAACTGCATAGCCCTCTTCCCCACTTCTGCAGGTCATGTTCTTGATGTGGCCTCTTAAATGGAACAATTTATCTTCAGGGAAGTGAGTCACACTTCAGTTAATGATGATGCTGAAGCCAGCAGGGGACAATGTAAAGGTTAACATGAATATTTTGCAGCTGATATATTAACAGTATCATTCCGTTTTCCCAGGAAGGGAACGATTGCTCTCCACCAACTTGGTCCTGCTCTTTATAAATGGCTGTAAAATAAAGAAGATCCAAAGCATAAATTCAACTCAAGCAAGAACTCACTAAACAGTAACCAAAGATAGGAGGAAATTTTCAAAATATTTTTAAATTGGTTTCATCAGCTATAAAGGTTGATCTCAATTTTATAGAGTCATCCCTTCATAACACACCCAGTGACTTCCTGAGTATGTCAGCTATAATTTACGGCTTCTGCATGGCTTTAAGTCCCTCTGATAAAGTCTTAGAGTTACAGACCATTGAAATCCATTAAACTGCTTATCAGTACGCTTTAGAGTAGGCTATAAGGACAATGGAAAAGTTCTGAGATTCAGTTGTTCATTAAAAAGCAAGAATAATCAAGCATTGATCAGTGTTACTTCCAAATGTTTTAAAACTGTCTACATACATAACATTTACAGTAGTATAATAGGTGATGTCAAAATGGCATTTGGAACAAATGAAAAATAATACACAGAGTTTAAAAACACCTAATCAAAGATTTGTACTGTATTACTATATAATAGAGATCTAGCAGGTTTCCATTATCTTATGAAGAAACTATCAGTAGGATTTATAAAATAAATTCAATTTTCTTAACTGAATTCATGACTTTTACTATGCAATAGGAGAGTTTGCACTGTAAACAAAAATAAAATACAGACATTCAACTGCACAATACATATTGCAGGAACAAGACTTGCATACCTATGAAAACCTACAAATGAAGAGTCTAAACTAATATTCTGCATACTATTTCATACCTAACACTTTTTTCACTATTTTTACTCTATATGACAGAACATACATTAAGGGTTTCTGTCAAGATTTTCAGTCTTTTGGGGGGATTTAAAGCAGGACTCCTAATGACTGCTCTAAGGAATGTTGGGGGGGGGGGGGGATATTTGAAAAAAATCAGCTTAGGTCAATAAATTTTCACACAGATTTCCTTGAGATATCTTTCCTAGAGCATAAGAAAATATTGTTTTCCTTAGCTGTTAGCCTCAACTCCCACTCCAGTAACAGATCCAGCATGTAGAGTCCTGAAGAGAACAAAGGACCCTAGTCAAAGGAGTACAATTGATATATTAGTGACAAAAACTGTAGTTCAGAAAATTAGAGATTAAATATCTCTCCCTTGCACCTACATGCCTAAAAAAAACATTTCCATTCAACTTTGCCATCTCAATATACTTTCCTTCCCTAACTGCTTTTACTTTTACCCTTTCTCTCATATAGTTTTAAAATAATAACCAGGACAGAAAGACACTCTCTACATGTGTTCCATTGCTTCCAGGGTTCACCTGGTGTGATGCAGATCTCAGGATCTTGAGTGATAACAAACACTCCACTCAACTTTGTTGAAATAGTAAGAACTGACCAAGACCAAAATAATCTCTCTAGTGTCATGGTTTAAACTCAGCCAGCAACTAAGCCCCACACAGCCGCTTGCTGAATCCCCCAGGTGGAATGAAAGAATCAGAAAGAGTAAGAGAGAAAACTCATGGGTTGAGATAAAGGCAGCAAAAGCTGCTCATTCAAACAAAGCAAAACAAGGAATTCATTCTCTACTTTCCATCAGTAGGCAGGTGTTCAGCCATCTCCAGGAAAGCAGGGGTCCACCATGTGTAACAGTTATTTGGGAAGACAAACGCCAAATGTCCTCCCGTTCCTTCTTCTTCACCCAGATTTATATGCTAAGCATGACAACATATTGTATGTAATATCCTTTTGGTCAGTTGGGGTCATCTGTCCCAGCTGTGTCCTCTGCCAATGTCTTGTGCACCCTCTACTCACTGGGGTGGTGAGAAGCAGAAAAGGGCTTGACTCTGTGTAAGCACTGCTCAGCAATAAGGAAAACATCTCTGTATTATCAACACTGTTTTCAGCACAAATCCAAAATATAGCCCTGTACTAGCCACTATGAAGAAAATTTGTTCTATGTCAGCCAAAACCAGCACACTAGTCAATTCCATGTTGATTCTGCCCTCCAAAGATCTTATGCACAGAACCAAGAGAACAAGGAACTGAAACGCGATAGATTACATGAAATCTAACACAACTTTATATAAAGGTATGTGATAGACTGTATCCTAACCCAGGTGAAACACTGATGGTCCCATTATTATGCTATGTGGGCCCCAAAGGACCAAAACCAAAGCCACTAGTGAGTATAAATTCTTGGGTAATTTTTAAACACGTTGATTAATTTTACTTCTAGCAGTTGATTTTTTGTGCAACTGCTGAAACAGTGTGCCTTGTACTGCAGTATTCACAGCTGTGACGGCAGCCATCCATAGTAGTAACTGCATATAGCATTTCCTACAGCTGAATCGCAGTTGTTCACATTTGACCCTGGCATGAAAGACACTCATAGACACATAAACCACCAGTTAAACAGCAGATGGATTGGGAGGAGTGGGTAATAATCCCACTCCCAACTTTACTCCTGCCAGAATCTGTCTGTGTCATCTTGCCATTGAACTTGGCTGTGATGGCTGCCACCAAAGGGGAGAGACAGGTTGTGTGTCTGGGTGGCCTGGAGCGCGGCAATGCAGGGCTGGAAGCCCCTTCCAGAAGCAGTGGTCATTCTCCATGGTCTCTCCTTCAATTCTATATGCAACATTAGTTGCCTGTCTAGTTCCCAGAGATTCCCCCTGCTCATCCCAATACAAGCTGACCTGCAAAGGGTCCTTGAAACCATTTCTGAGAAAAAGCAGTATTGTCTCAGCCTATCCTCCTTCTTTTTCATTAGTAAAAGATGGCAGCAGCGGCGGTGGCAGGGCGGGTGATGGCACCCTAGGAGCCTGCCGGGCCCGTGCCACGCTGGGCCGGGCTGCGAGCAGCACCACCGGTACCGAGGCAGTGCTGCGGGAGCAGCTGAGGCAGCACCAAGTGACAGAGGGACCCCTGGAACGCACCGTGGGCCCGGAGGAGGAGGGAGAGGACAAAGAATGGTGGCAGCAGGAGCGGATGGCAGCCGCTCGCCACTTGGTCCTGCGTCTGGTGGGGCTGCTGGGTGCTGGGACCGGTGTGGCATTCATCTACATCTTCAGCAGCAATGTGGTGGACGAGCACAGGACCAAGATCCCTGATGAGTTGGATGATGACCCCATGGACATCCAGCAGCACCGCAGGATGTACAAGTACTTCAAGGACCACAGGCAGATGATCATCAAGCCCGCCAGCCCCAAACTGCTGCCGGGCCCCCTGCATGAAACCTACTACCAGTCCCCCTACACCCTTATTATTGAGTTCACTGACATCCTGCTGCACCCCGAGTGGTCGTTCGTCACCAGTTGGCACTTCATGAAGCGCCCGGGCATTGAGAGCCTCCTCCAACAACTCGCTCCCCTCCATGAGATTGTCATCTTCACCTCCAAAACCGGCATGACCACCTTCCCCCTCAATGATAGCAAATACCCCCATGTCTTCATTTCCTACTGCCTCTTCTGTGATGCCACCCACTACATGGACAGGCACCACAACAAGGATATTTCCTGCCTCAACAGAGACCCCACCAAGGTGGTGGTGGTGGATTACTGGAGAGAAGCTTTCTGCCTGCAGCCCTACAATGGGCTGGCACTGCCTTGCTGGGATGGCAGCTCCAATAACCGCGTGCTCTACAACCTTACCACTTTCCTCAAAACCATCGTCCTCAGCGGGGTGGAATATGTCCAGAAGGTGCTGGAGAATTACACGCTGGAGGAGGATCCATTGGAGGCTTTTAAACGCCACCAGTCGCAGCTGGAGGAGGAGCAGCAGTGCCTGGCTGAGCTGGCACAGGCAAAGAAGCCGAAGGGGCTTTTTCTGGGCCGCCTGACTGGGTGCTTTTGGCTGTGCTCCAAGCAGCAGTGATGTCAGCATGACATCATCACCACGGCGCTGTGACTTCATCACAAAGGTGATGTGATATCACCGCGGTGCTGGGACATCATCGCTACGGTGCTGTGATGTTTGGGGGGGGCAAGGTGACACATCCTGGCCACCGTGGGAGCGGCGGATGATTATTGGACAATGTGGTCCTGGTGTTTTTGGGGGGAGGGGGGGGAGGGAGGGGAAGGAATCGAACCCAATGGGTGTGAATAAAGGGTGATGTGGAAAAAAAAAAAACAAAACAAAACAAAAAAAAACCAAAAAAACCCACAATTAAAAAATGAGCCAGCAGTGTGCCCAGGTGGCCAAGAAGGCCAATGACATCCTGGCTTGTGTCAGCAATAGCGTGGCCAGCAGGGACAGGGAAGAGAATTTGCCCTTGTACTCAGCACTGGTGAGGCTGCACCTCAATTCCTGTGTTCAGTTTTGGGCCCCTCACTACCAAAAGGACATTGAATTACTTGAGCGTGTCCAGAGAAGGGCAACAAAGCTGGTGCAGGGTCTGGAGCACAGGTCGTAGGAGGAGAGGCTGAGGGAACTGGGGGTGTTTAGTCTGGAGAAGAGGAGGCTGAGGGGAGACCTCATCGCCCTCTACAGCTACCTGAGAGGAGGTTGCAGAGAGCTGGGGATGAGTCTCTTTAACCAAGTAACAAGCAATTAGACAAGAGGGAATGGCCTCAAGTTGCACCAGGGAAGGTTTAGACTGGATATTAGGAAGTCTTTCTTTACAGAACGGGTTGTTGGGCGTTGGAATGGGCTGCCCAGGGAGGTGGTGGAGTCCCCATCCCTGGAGGTGTTTAAGAGTCGGGTCGACATAGCGCTGAGGGATATGGTGTAGTTGAGAACACTCAATGCCAGGTTAATGGTTGGACTAGATGATCTTCAAGGTCCTTTCCAACCTAGTTGATTCTGTGATTCTGTGATTCTTAATTAAAATGGAATGCATCTTCTGGTGTAAACAGGAATCCATCCTAACATTTGTCTGAAGGCACTAATAATCAAATAGCATAAATCATATAGTTAACCTTTTGACATAGTAGTTTTAATTAATACATTTTTAATCTTACATGACAAGATATATCTGCTAATGAGTGATGACACAGCCTAGAGAAAGAAGTATGGTATTGAGCCTCAGGAATTCTGCATTACATATGACTGTATACTGACATTTGTGGATTTCAGCAACCAGCTTAAATCCCCATTCAGGAAATGTCCCAAGTTGAAATTTCAGTACAAACTTATGAGTTGACTATAAACATTCTGAAGTAGCTTTTTGAATCAAAAACTTCACTTCCAGGTAGATTTTATCTCAACCTGGACAATAGGGACTATTTAATCTAATTGTACTCTCACAAAACCAGAAGGATAATTTAGAAACTCTTTGGGGTTAAAAGATGTCACTGACATCCTAATGATGAGATAGTTTATTTACTAATCTGTTCAGACGAGCTCTTCTTCTTAAACACAGTAAGAAAGATGGAGGAAAAAAGCTTTATTTCCACGTAATGTTAGTGATGTACTTGATGGTCCAGTTCAGTAGAACATCAACAGCATATGAAGATTTCCCCAGAGACCTTCATCACTACTGGTGTAGATCTCATCACATTTATTCAACACATTTATTGCTCTGGCGCTTTTCACAGATGGCTGTGACACTAGTTTTTCTCCTTGGCTTTTTTTAGCAACTGTACTTTAAAGAAAACAAACTGGACTAACAAATCTTGCTAAGATTCTAACATAAAGTACTAAAGGGATAGAAAAAGTCTCAGTTAAGAGTGAAATGTACCATATGCCCTCCAACAACTATGCATCATTTAGAACCACCTTTGTGACTGTCTTATTGTTCCCAATTGTACTTGGATGTGTGAAGAGATAAAACTTTCACTCCAAGCTGTAAATGTCTTGTCTTCTCTTTTTTTTTTGTTTTTTGGTCATTTCTGAAAAATACTTTTTTGGCATAATTTTTTGCGAGAGATTTTATACAGATAAATAGAGCTAGGTAATTAATAGCTTCATAGTCATCCTCTACTATGAACATTTTTAGTTCAAGAACACAAACCAATTTTAATTAAAGGGGATGAGTTTTTAATCTACTTGCTTTTTATAGGACTTATTAAAGATAAAAGTGATGTATGGAGAGTCACTGTCTTTGAGTGTATGTTATAACCCTTATTTGCATAATAAAAGAGACTATGCATAAGCTTAATAGTAATCATAAATGTATATTAATGAAGACATTTATAGACACATGAAAATGTATATCACATAGGGAAAAAAATCTAAGTTATTAATGTTGACAGATTCAATACAGATGACATTATGTATGTTAATATTATTACAAATCCTTATTGTTATTCATAGACTTATATAAATATTTTCATTATGAATCATATTCTGTCAGTTCTCATGAGAAAATAAAAATACATGATGGCAATACATAGTGGCAAAGTGGCATTGTCATGTTTATATTAATGTCAAGTTCAAATTAAAATTAGTTCTAAAATTAGTGACAAAGACATTGTTTCACATTTTAAAATAATAAGCATTCATGTTAATGCTGCTAATAAATTGATATTGAAATAACCAGCTTCAATAACTATAGATTGAATGTGCTTGTTGTCAAAGTAAATTGAAATAGAATCTTTTGAAGTTGTCATTACTGGCCAATGAATAAGCAAAAGGATGTGCAGACTCCTTGCCCATGAATGTGGTGGTCCTGATTCTTTTTCTTGAAGACATTTATTTTGTTCTAGAACTGGTATTTCACTCTAGTTATTTTAATCCTTATGCCACAAAAGCCTGGTTCAAGTCTTGCCGAATGTCATGAATGGCTCTGGGATCCAAACACAGAGTAGTCACTGAGTATCCTAGGGTTCCCTGAGCCGTACTTCACCTTCCTTCACCCCAGCTTCAGTTATGGACCACATACAATGTTGAATTAATCTTTGGTCCAGCCTGCTAGAAGGATCACGATACTTGTTTGATAAGTTATATTTTCACTCATTTTCTTAAGAAAGCTTTAAAAGATTACTTATCCACATTCTTAATTTAAGGGTTTTATTAACATGATGGCGCAATTGTTTCACAACATGGAGTTGTTTATTGCATATATGGTACAGTCAGCATTTTTGTACTGTTTTAATCAGACAACGTAAAGTCCCTGAGAGCTGTTAATCACAGACAGAAGATTAAGCCTTTTTTTCTCCTCTATTTTATTTTGCTTGAGCCAAAAACATATGGAAAAATCTACATAAGACTCAGGATATTATTGTTTCCCAGACAGAAGTTAAAACAGTTTTAATACACCATAACATATAGTGAGCACCATTCATGAGAATTAGTGTTTGGATTGAATTATGTTGCTACTCTGAAGAGGATTTAAGAAACCTTAATAGTCAGTCCTTTGGGAAACACAATAGCTGCACATAGAGAGTTTCATTTTGAAGAAGCTGAGTTGTATATGGATTCTTATGGACACATTTAACATATTTTCTATAGTGAGTAACACATGTAAATGGACACCTGTGTACACAAAGGTCTTTGAACATATATAAGAAACCATCACTTCATTTAATCACTTAATTTTCATGTTTACTTGCCATATATGCTTCACAATTTAGGTAGAATTTTTCATATTAGTCTACCAATAAGTCTTGTCATTATTTTTTTTTTTCTTTTTTAATATTTGGGCTTAACTAAGGATATAAAAATCCATACAATGAGAAACTTGTGCAGAGGGTGTATGTATTAAAATTTACTTCTATCCTTTTTTCTATTCCCTGACAGGTTACCCTTCATTCAAACTATGCATTACTAGAGTCAGACTGGCCCTGATAAAAGCAGAAAAACTTATATAGATGGATCAACCTTCCACAGTTGTTATCCCACTTGAGAAGACAAATCCCACTGTCATTCACATTAATACAGACTCACTAGGTTAGTAACACTGTGTTGCACTGAGTTATTCTGCAGTCACCCTGATCAAAACTTGATTTCATCTATATAGGGAATGTTATTTCAAAATGAAGGTTAACTAATAGTCTGCAATAGTACCTGTATACAGATTCCATAGGCAGCATGTATGCAGAAAAAAAAATGTGAAAGATGACAAATCCAAGAGAATCTAACTTTAAACTAAGGAAATTCAAAATGAGAAAGAAATATTACATCAAATCCACCCAATCAGAACTGATAATTCTGTCTGCAAAGCCATGATCTTGTTTCCTGTTCAGGAAAATATGATCTCAGTAATGCATAGGACACTATTTCAGACAAATACTTTAATGGTGTGATTAGTTTTAATAATGTAAATTATCCCATTAAAATCTGTTTACCAAATCAGGGAGTAAAATAGCTCAGAGAGCTGCATCCTTCAGTCTCTTTTAGTAAAACACTCTTTTTTAGCCTAGAAGTACAGAAATTTGTATGGATGTCTTGGCAGAAAAGTAAAAGAGAACTGAATGTTTGAGAGCTGAATTTTTCCACTTAATGTGCAGCATTAAAATCAAGGGCTTTCCTTTAGATATATTTTCAGACTGTCTTGTGTATGGATAGCTTTCACATAAATCAGTGATGGTTCTACACTTGGATCATCTCTTTCTGATACTATCAAAACTGAATAAAAAGACATTGTTCACTCCTCTCCTTTTTCTGCCCTCCAGCCTTTCATTTGGGAAGGATGAGAAACCATGTCTAACCCAAGGAAAGGAATGAAACACAGACAAGCTACATAGCAATCTGCAGCTTAAGCCTGGCATGAGATCAGCCTCTAAAGTGCTTCCTTTCAGAGAAGCAGCTTACCTACCTTCCATAAGTATGTGAAAGTCTGTTTCTTTTCTACGTTTTGTCAACACTTGTTTATCTCATCCTACGAAATCTCCTTGAATTGAGTTGCGTGTCTGCAAAATGAATCCAAGGCTCAAACAAGCTATTGACATTCTCTGCCCCCACCCAAGAAAAGTTTCTTTTTTCTGTTGGCAATGATCCATGACATTTAAATTCTGTCTTCCACAACAGGCTTATAGAAAACTAAAGAAAGAACTACA